CAAACGCGCTCCGTTGTGAAAAATAACGGTGGGATTGCTAGTACCGATTGTTAAAAGCCAAAGCACAACGGAAAAGCTAAAGCCGAAGCCATAAAAAGAAACTACAATAACGTAATACAAGGCATCCTATACAATGGAATACTATGCCACTGATTGATAAGTATAAGGCCCAGCTTTACATGCTGACTAATATGAAATAATAATCTCCAAGGATACAATATTATACAACAAAGAATTTACACATATATACTGTCGTATTTCTTGTTTTATAAGATTATTAATATAATCACAATCACATTTAATAATAACTCATAAAAATAAGAGCAACAGAGTGAGACTCTGTCTCAAAATAAATAAATAAATAAAATAAAGAGATGACAAATTGCTATTCTCAAGGAACTTTATAATTAAGAGAGGACTGGCGACTTGTCTACTCAAGTCCAAGCAGTGGGGACTGTGGGGAAAATATTCTTTGGGTCTCTATAGTGACTTGCATGGACAAGAAGCCCTAGCAAGTTCTTTGCAAATACTTGCTATGATGTGGAATTAATGATTATATTGTTCTTGCTTTTCTTTGTAGGAAGCGGAGATCACTCATCAGAGGGAAATAGAAGCTAAGAAAGAATTCGATGAATGGAAAGAAAAAGAGCACATCAAGCTTTATGGGGAAATAGACAAGCTAAAAAAGTTATTTTGGGATGAATTTAAAAGTGTTGCCAACCAGAACTCTACACTAGAAGAGGTACTCAACAGAAAAGGTTTTGCAAAGTTCTTTTGCTGAAAATCTGCTTGTTTGTTTTCAGAATTAATTTCTTAGTTTTTAGTAGTTTTATTTCATCTGCTGTGGGGCTAATGTGCTTTGGAGCCAGATATCAGAAGCCAGTGCCTCGGCCTGAGTCACTGCTCTGTCACATACTGGCTGTGTGACCTTGGGTGAGTTACTTAACCTCCCTGTGCCTCAGTTTCTTTTCTGTAAGATAGGTTGCTGAAAGGGTTAAATTGATACGTATACAGTACTTAACATTATCTGGTATATAGTAAAATAGCCATACTATTACTCCAGATATTATCCTTATTTTTTGCAAAGGGCTTTCATCACTGGACAAGAAATGAGGCAAAGTTTAAATGAATGCATTTTCCTCCCTACAGATATTCTCTGAGTGGTGGCTACATGCCAGACACTCCATTGGGGTCTGTGGAGGTTACACACAATAGCTAACATTTGCTGACCTGTATTTGCTATTTTCTAGCCCTTGTATAATGCACTTAATATACATTAACTTTCAATCATAACAATCAAACGTCTGTAACATTCTCAAAGTAGGTACATCACTAGTTTATTAATTTCTTTTTAAAAGTTCTTTTGAATAAAAGATGCTGTTAGCATTTCTTCATTACAAGTGAAGAAGTTGAGGTCATGTAACTTGCCCAAGATCATTCAGCTAGGAAGAGATGGAGCTGGGATTTGAACCTAGCTCTTCAAACTCCAAAGCCTCTGTTCTTCTACTGGGTATACAATCAAATTTATGCAGGAAAACCTTATTACAGTTAACCCTGGACCATATCTTCCCATGTAAACATGTATGACTAAAACTTTCAAGAAAAAAGTTTTGAGGAAAGATACTTTTAAAATGTATTACCTCTCATTGGTTCTCCTTAATCTTGTTTTTGAAAATGAATTGACTCTCTCACTCCCCCTGACATGGTGCTTAGTGGACTAGACATTTGATACATAGATATTAATTTGAAGTTGTTCAGAAATCACCTCATCAAGGGTCAAAGGTTTACTTTTGGTTAGGAAATTCTGAGATTTGGTAACTGAGGCCATAATCTTTATTATTATCCATGGTTTTCTTTTTAGCTCGGATCATATTTTCCTAAACTGTAACAGCCTATCCTTTTTAGTTTGTTTGTTTTTTGGCCTTTCCCCTATAGAATTACTTATGTGTTTTTGTGTGTCTCATCCCTGTTTCCTCTCAATATTTTTTTTTAATTTTACTTTTATTAAAGTATAGGAACCAAACTGGATACAAAATTCTCAGTGTAGTTGGATAATTATTTTGCTAATTTATTTTTTAAAATTCCAGGGGGAAAACCAAGTAGGATTCCATTTAGAATGCTTGTGAGAAACACTGTAAGGCAGTCTATTTTCAAAACACAAGAAAAGATTCTCCTTGACATTATTAGGAGGGCCAGTGAGAGGTAAATTTTGAAAATGTTTCTCCTCAAAACTTTCCCCCTGATACAGAAGTCTGAGAGCTTACTTTGGCTAAATTACCTGATTGAAGAGAGAACTGTAGATTAGATATTGGCTAAATTGAGATGCCAAAGGAATCTCTAATCAAAAGGAACATACCATGAAGGTTTGTAATGCCAAGAAATCTAGCTCTATGGCGTGTCACAAACAGCAGTGTGGAGGTCAGAAGTGATACATCAGAAACCCAGAGTTGTGCATACATCTGATAAAACATTCAACTGTACAGAAATACTCAATGAGTTTAGAAAGGGTTAACATTTGGACCCAGTATTGCTTAAACAGTAATTGAGAAGAGTTAGCAAGAATGATACCATGTTAAACTTGCAGTACCTTAAAGCTTTTATAGGGCTTATGAGTTTTATACAGTAATACAGATGGAAATATGTTACTTTTGTTACTGTAATCATGATATATTTTACAAAATAACCATAGATGGGTGGAAGACATCCTCTCTTTGATTCAGTTTTCCATGCCTTTTCCTTCCGGTCACGCACTTGCTAGCTCAGGAATCACCAGGTATTGGTGACCAGCTCTGAGCTGTGCAAAGCTAGCCCTTTCTGGTGACTGTCAGGATTTTTTTGTGGGGTGAGTCCTCAGAAAGTGGCCCGAGGTGGCTGAGAGCCTCCCATAGGCTCTCAGAGTCTGGTTTTCTTCAGCTTATTCCGGACCGAGGAGGAGATGCAGCAGCAGTCTGGCGAGCTCTGGGATTTGAGTACGGCAGAATTTAAGTGAAATTGAAATTGCACCGTTCTTCCATGGAACTTGCTTTTCTCTTGAGCCCTTGAAAGAGCCCCAGACAAGGGGAATGCTGGTTTGTGTGACTGTTTGCAGGTGCAGGTGTCTAGTGAGGATAACGTGGGGGTTAATGGTTGGGGTAAGGTGTGCCCTTCTGATACTGTTCAAGGTACAAAAGACAACATCATGATTGGATCTTTATCTAAATATAACCATGCCCTTGCCTTTTCAGAAACTGCAGGCACTGCAGTCCCACGGTGTGACAGAGTCCAACCTGGGATCGCTGCGGGATGAGGAATCGGAGGAGCGAGTCCAGCAGACACGGGAGCTCCAGGCCCTGAGAGACAAGATGGAAATGCAGGTGAGCTAAGGCTCCAGGCCTTTCTTCCCAGAGCAAGCCAAGAACCATGTTATCTCCCAATGAGTTCTCTCCCTTTTGCCATATGAATTTAGGGAGTTGAAAGACATCAAATTTCTGTATTTTCAGACCTTCTGCCGATACATGCAAGCATAGCATAGGGTTCTCAGGTGAGGCTGGTGACATTTGTACAATAGCAGGTTTGCCTGGGATCTTTTTCAAAAATATGTACAGCTGTGTCTCTTTTTGACATCTTGGCTCCCAGTTTGATTCTAACCCAGTTGAAAACAACTCTTAGAAAGTGTTATAGTCTCCTGGATTTGAAGATATTTAGGATGGATCCAGTGGTGTGATGGTAAATGTTTAGCAGCCAGCTCTCTGGACTAAAAATGCTTTGATTTGTAGCATCTACAATTTCTGTGGTATGAATATGCCCACCATTGCTGATTTAATGCTATCGGTGTGAGGTCACCAGATGGAGTTGGGAAGACTTACGCACAATCTGTGCTCGGAGGCTGGTAGGAGGTGGCTCTGGCCACCACTGGGCAAATCTTACTACAGTCCAGTTATAAGATGGTCTGGATCACTGACAATTTCATGGCAAAGAAGGGTGATGAGCACAGTCATTGCATGGTGTTGTGCTTCTGTTTCTGTTCTCCAAGATTGTGGAGAAAGAGCTTAACATGTATTGTCAGCAGTAAAGTATTTCCAATGATTGATGTTTCACATTATAAAAAAGCAAATCTTTTTTCTATGAACTCTACATTCTTTGCCTATTTTTCTATTATTGATATTTTCCTTACCAATTTGTGAGTCTGTGTAACTTTAACTCAGCTCTTTGTTGTTCTAGCTGTGGCTGTTCTCCCCAGTTTTCTATTGGTCCTTCCAACTTTGTTTATCATGGTTTGGCTGTAAAAATAAATCATGTTTATGTGGTCAAAATTATCAAATTATCAAACTTGTCTTTATGGCTTTCCCTACTCTAAGATTTAAAAAGAAAATTTTCCTGTATTTTCTTTTACTACTTTTATGGCTTTATTATTATTTTTTGTTTAATTCTTTGTCCCAACTAGAATTTATTTTTGTTTAAGATATTAAATATGGATCCAAGTTCATATATCTTTCCAGGTAACTAGCCACTTGTTCAAAGACTTTAGTAAATAATCCATCTCCCCCTTTTCTCACTGATTAAATTTCCATTTTTTACCCATCATTGTCAGGGCTTTCTGTTGTTCCATTATTCTGTCTGCCTAATCATAAGCCAGCACTTTTTAATTTCTATAGCTTTATAAAATGCTTTTAATGCCTGTAGGGGTCCTTTTGATAAGCTTTTAATTTTTTCCAGAAAACTGAGTGGAAGAGAAAAATAAAAGAACTGCATGAAGAGCACGTGGCTGAGAAGAGAGAGGTAGCTCTTGTTGTGTTGTCTGGGGCCTTAGTTTCCTGTGACCTCCTTTCCTAATTCAGCATCCCCCCTCCCCTCTCCCCATCCCACCTGGAACTGGTTGGTGGATATTTTGTTGCTGATATGGTTCCTGACTGCTGACTCCCATCAGTACACAGAAGGGGTCAGCTGCCTGGTCAGCATCTTCCCTGGCCAGGACCAGGGGCCTCCAGCCTCCTCTTCTGAACCTAACGCATCCTTTATTCTGTGGTCCTCTTTGTAGTGGCCCCTTGAGGCCCTCCGGGGAGTTGTGCTGCAACTCCTCAGATGCATCCGCTGGTCATTTCGTGTTTGGGCTCTTCTTTGAATTCCTCCCACCCTGGGAGAGAACTAGGGGGCTGTGGACCTCCGTGAGAGTTCAGGGGGAGTCCAGATGGAAGGCCTCAGATACTGAGACCGGTGAACAGGGAGCAGCAGCCTCAGGGCAGTGAAGACAGCATGTTGTAAAAATGCCCTGAGGAGGAGGCAGATTGAGGAGGAAGCTGGTTAACAAGCACCCCAGGTCCTGCCTGCAGGAAGCTCAGAAGATGAAAAAGCTGAGATTAGAGTCTGGCCTGGGTAGATGCTCCCACTCCAGTATAGGGATGCACCAAAATTCACATGGGATGGTTTTACTTTATTTGAAACATTTTATAATGAGAAATTTACTCCAAGAACAGGGGCAATATACTAAGCTACAGTGAGTAAAGTCTCCCTCCCACTCAGCCACATCTCCCTGTCCCCAACACCCACCCCACAGGTGATGACTTTTCTTGCTTTCCTGTGTATTCTTCTAGAGTTTATGCAAGTATCAATGGATTATCTCTTTTTTTTTATTTTTATTTTATTTGAGACAGAGTCTCTCTCTGTTGCCCAGGCTAAAGTGCTGTGGCATTAGCCTAGCTCACAGCAACCTCAAACTCCTGGGCTCAAGCAATCCTCCTGCCTCAGCCTCCCGAGTAGCTGGGACTACAGGCATGTGCCACCATGCCCAGCTAATTTTTTCTATATATTTTTAGTTGTCCAGCTAATTTCTTTCTTTTTTTAGTAAAGTTGGGGTCTTGCTTTTGCTCAGGCTGGTCTCGAACTCATGGGCTCAAACCATCTGCCATCTGCCAGCCTCGGCCTCCCAGAGTGCTAGGATTACAGGCATAGCCACCATGCCTGGCCATATTGTGTCGTTTTATCTCTGCTCTTACATTAGAGGAAGCATGTTAACACCTTTTCTTCACCTCTTCTTTTCACCTAAAAACATCCACTTGATGGTTTTTGAATGGTCTCAATTTATTTGACTGTCCCTTAATGGGTGGCCACATCTGACAGAGAGCCCTTCCCTGCATTCCAGTCTCACTTCTTCCCAGGCACAGCTCAGAAATGTCCCCAAACTGGAAGGTGGTTAGTCTTGTTAGAAAGCCGCCTGCCCAGGTCTAGAAATCCTCTGTCTGCTTCAAGCGAAACCCTTGACAGTCTTTGCCTACAGCTGCGGGCCCTGTGGCCACCGGGCACTCAGAGGTCCCCACAGACATTTGACTGACCGACCATGCTGTGCCCACCAGCTGCAGGAGGAGAACGAGCGGCTCCAGGCCTCCTTGTCTCAGGATCAGAGGAAGGCAGCTGCCCAGTCCCAGCGGCAGATCAGCGCCCTCCGCACCCGGCTGCAGGAGCAAGCCAGGCTCATCGCCTCCCAGGAGGAGACGGTAGGTCTGTCCCTCCTTTCAGCCAGGCCTTGGTGTCCCTAGACCTCTTCCCTGCAAGGATCTCCTTGGGTTCTTCTGGGCTTCTTGGTGCCAGTCTTATTACTCAGGCTCCTTAAAGAAGGACAAGAGTCCTCCGGCATGAGGGATACAAAGTGATGAGGATGTTACTGCCCCTTTCTAGGCTAAAGATGTGCCATCTTCCTTAGGGATAGGTGGCAGATGGGGTCACACTAACAGCAGAAACCATGTAAAATGCCCAGCACCTTCTTCATCCTTTGCTTATTACCTCATTTAAGCCTCACTACTGACCTTCAAGGTAGGCATCCCCTTCTCATTTGACAGAAGATGAAGCAGGCTGGAGAAGTCAAGTGCCTCGCTCAAGTCTACCTTGGGCACTCTATAAGCGACAGGGGTGAGATAGAACCCTAGCCGGGAAGGCGCAATGCAGAGCTTGTTCTCAGGCATCATTTCTTAATGGTACCCTGTCCATAAATGAACAGCCCCTGATGAGGTCGTCAGAAAGACCAGTGTGATGCAAAGGCACTTGCTTAGCACCTTTCTCCTAAATCTGGCCCCTGTGACTCCTCATCTTTTGCTGATAATTCTCTGCCCTGTCCAAGCTAAGCTGTCCCTCCTGAGCCCCAGGTCTGTGGGAAGCTGTGTCTTTCCCCACCAGGGCCCCTCCTGTGGCCTCAGGTCCTTGCTGTGGTTCTGCCTCCACCCATCTCACGGACTGGCCTGCACGCAGCTTCCTGGGCTGAGCACCCGCTGTCACTCTCCAGTCCTAACTTTCTGTTCCTGCACCTCTCCCCTAACTATTTGTGCTTTTCTGCACTCCCGGCCACACCTCAGCCAGCCAGCATCTGCCCCAGCCCCCTGCTTTTCTTTTCACTGTCCCCCCTCCCCTAAAACTCTTAGCTCGTCACTGCCATGGCCACCTAAGGTCCAGTGTGGAGATTTTCTCCTTATGTTATCCAGAACTCTGGTTTGCCAAGGATTTGCTTAGGAACCTGTTGGCTAAAGATAATAGAATAGGTTAATAGAGATGAGAGTTGCTGGCCTTTGTTAGCAGCAAAAGTATGCCATTGGGAACCAGACTCTGTTTCTCTTTTTGCCATCTTCAGTCATCAGACTTATGTTTCCTGCTTGACTCCCACAGCTGTGAGCTGTCTGCCATGGCCCCAGCCAGGCAACCATATTTGGCGGAAGCCGTTGATGAAAAGACTTCTGCTTATTATATTATTGGTTAAAACTGTGCCATTTGGGCAACTACAGCTGCAAGGAAGGCTGGGAAGTGAATAGTTTGTTTTACAGCCTCAGTCATAGAGCTGGGCAGAGGAGGAAACAATTGGGAGTGGGTATCGGGAGAGTCATATGTCAGCGTGTCCCACTGCAGGGAATACAAATCTACTCAAGCTTAAGCAGAAGAGGGAATTTGTCGTAAAGAGCTCAAGTCAGGGAAGAAGCTGAGTCGGAACAAACTGGAACCAGAGATGTGAATGTGGTCGGGAGTTTTCCTCTTTTGTGTGTCTCTGTTCCTTTCTCTGTGTTTGTTTCCATTTTTTTTCTTTTACTCTGAAGATCAGCTTCTACTTCTTATCTGTTCCATGTGGCACAACAAACACATAAACAAACTAAGAAAAGCAAAAATAGTTGGCTGCCAGCAGCTCTTGACTTCACTTATTACTAGTCCATAACTCTTTGCCAAACCTGGATGGTGAGCTGTGGCTGTGGCATGAGGTCACGTTGCTCACGTGTGGCTGCCCCCCCCCCCCCCCCGCCATGTGGAGGGAGGGAGAGAGGCAGCTCTTGGAAAGAGGGCGTGAGCAGGCAGTCCACATCGTGCCTCCTGGCAGGGATCGTGTCTGGCCTCCTTCCTCCCAGGTGGGCTCAGCTCAGATGCCCACATGGTGGCAGGGGAGCCTCTTCCTTGCCCTGGATGCTTTCCATGAATTATACCGTGGAATTATTCCATGAATTACACTAATGGCGCTGACCGTGCCTGTCCCACTCTGCTTCTCTGAGGCTCCTGCCCTTCATTCATAATCCTTCCTTGAAGAGGGGACATTTTTACCTCTCTACTTTGGGAAAATGGAATGTGCTGCCATTTCTCTCACATGTGGACACAGGAGAGGTGTTGAGGGGCTGGGATGGTGAATATGAGCTCCTTCCCATTCCAAGTGGGTGGCATGGAAACGGTGGCTGTCCCTTCTTCACTGTGCTAGGCAGACACACTGCTCAGAGCAGAGTTTTCCCACAGTGTTCCCTGCTGGTTGTAACCGGCTCTGTTCACCTCTTTGCAGATCCAGACCTTGTCCCTCAGGAAGGTGGAGGGTAAGTTTACATGGGGTGGTCTGTAACAGTCTTTTTTTTTTTATTTCAGCATATTATGGGGGTACAGATATTAAGGTTTCAAAAAATGCCCTTTCCCCCCCTACCCCCACAAGTCTGAGTTTCCAGCATGACCATCCTCCAGATGGTGCACAGCTCACTCATTATGTATGTATATACCCACCCCCTCCCCCCTGCCCAATACCCTATTACTGTAGAACCTATGTGTCCATGGTTTGTAACAGTCTTGGCTGTTGTCTTGAGCTTTTCTCCCCATAAGCAATTTATAGGTGGAGGGTTGGTGACAGCAGCCCATGGGACACGTGGGGTCAGGCTGTCCAGTTGGGTGAGGGAGGGAGCTTTCAGGACAGACAGGGCTGCCACCTGGCATTTGTGCCGTACAGCTGGCAGAGCTTCTTACCTGGCCTGTTCTTCTCTGTAGAGAGGTGGGGGTGTTACGGAAGGGGGAAGATCTTGGGGGTGGTGATTGATGGGGAGGGGTTCATGAGCAGGCTTTTCTAGGTAACTATGCCTGTGGCAAGGCCTCAGGCTTGCCGGCGACCTTCACCTTGTTCCCAGCATTTAGCAAGTTGACCCCAAACCCATGTGAATGTGGTCTGTTTGGCGCATACACTGTCCTTCTCTTGAGGACTCTGCTGTGGGGGTACGTGTGCCTGTGAGTGTGTGTGCGCCCGTGTGGAATGGAGTGGGGGCCCACAGGGACTGCTTCTGCTGGGAGGACCTTGGCCAGCCCCTTAGGAAGCCTGGTCCTTCATGCTCTACCTCCAGCTCCCCTGTCCTATGCCTTTAGCTCCCTTTCTGTCCTTTTTTGCAAACTCACATCTCCTCCCATGCCCTGCCTTGGGACAAGACATATTTTTCCCAGCTTTGCAGCCAGTTCAGAGGGGCACTACTCCTGTGGTCCTGACCTTTCTGAGGGCTGGAGCTGGAATGGTTACCTCAGTAACAGCTGTGGGCCACAGACTTCACCAAGCACTTGGGGTTCATTGTCTTGTTATATTGAATGTGGAATGGGTATTATTATCCTTATTTTCTAGATGAGGAAACTGAGGCTTAGAGAGGTTCAAGGACCTACTATTTGGTGCATAGCTAGCGGGGGAGGGGGGGACAGAGCAGGCATGTGAACGCAGATTTTTCTGTCTCCCGTGTCTATGGGTGTGACCACTGCTCCATCCTGCTTCTCTGCAGTAAAGAAGCACTGACTGGAGGGCTTGCTCTTTCTGGCTGGTACTCACCTGCGGTCTTGCACTTTTCCCTGAGTTGGGGATGGGGTCCAGGGCACCGGAGCCACTAACGCTCCTCCTCCCTTTAGGGATCCACGAGGCGCCTAAGGCTGCAGACACAGAGGATTCTCCCGAGGAAGGTGGGTCTTGTTTTCCTTCCTGGGTGTCCACACAGAAAACAGATTTGCTGCCCTCCTTATTGTTTAGTTTGTCTCTACTTATCTGTATCTGGACACCTGAAGCTGGGGTCCAGGGGATTAAGGACACGAAATAACATTTCTTAAGCACCTTGCGTGTGCCAGGCACTAATATGCAATCTGCTGGTTCAGTAATGGGGAAACCCAGGCTCCGAGAGGATCAGTAACTTCCCCAGAGTCAAAGCTAGCAGGTAGCTGAGCCAGGGTTTGCAGCAATGTCTGAGTCACAGCCTGGCCCACTGCCTGTCACCCGGTACTATCCAGAGCAATGAAGAGAAGTCACTGAGTTGGCTCAAAAATGGCCTTTGCGGTTTTATTCTGCATCGTGAAGGTGCTGCAGGCAGATCACGCAGGTCCTAACCAAAGTGCAGGAACCTTCCTCAGCTGGCTTGTCAGCGCACTGGGTGCCTGCCATTCTATTCGCCCTCCTCAGTGACTGATTCTGATTTGCAGAGCTCTCAACTTGTAACCAAGGGATACAAAAGAAAAGTGAAACAAATAGACACGCTCTCTGACTGCAAGGAGCTCCTAGGATGGTCGGGGAGAGGGAGCTCCCAGGAAAGATGAGAGCTCACTGGGCGACCTGCTGACCAGGGCCTGCCCGCCGAGCGAGGCTGTGCTGGGACAATGTCAAGGTTACCCAACAGGCACACCAGGAAAGGGTCCGACTTGTGTCATCAGAGAGTTCATCATGGGGGTATTTTATTTTTTAATACAATATCTTTCTATATTTTTGAGGTGGCAATCTAATCTATATACTTGGGGGAAAAGAAAAAGAAATAGTGTAAAAGGGTGGACAGTGAGAAGTAGGTCTCTCTTCTGCCAGCTATCCAGTTTCTTCTCCAGAAGTTCCCCTGTTGACAGTTGCTTCCAGAGACACTCTGTGCAAATAGAAAGCGCATATGTGAACCCATTCTTCTCCTTTTTCCCTGAATGGGAACACAGTCTGCACATTGCTTTGTTGTTAGTTATATTGTTAACAACTTACTCGGGAAATCACATCATTCCATATCCCTTTCTATAGAATTGCTTCGTTATCTTGGAGGTCTCGACTGGTAGGGGATGAGAATGCCGAAGGTGGGTGGAGGGTCCAAGGCAAGTGGAACCCAGGAGCTGAAACTCCCCATCTTCTGACCCAGGGATGGACACGCAGGAGGGGTCAGTGGCTCTGGGCTCCTAGGCTGGAGACCAGGATCAGTGGCAGCCTGAGGGCTCGGCAGGTGCAGCAGGCTTCTGGGAGGTCTCAGGTGCCCAGGCTGACCTGGGTTGGTGTCTTGTGCCACAGAGCTGGAGGACTCCCGAGATGAGCATCAGAAGGTGCTCACAGCCCTGAGGAGTAACCCCACCTTGCTGAAGCAATTCAAGCCAATCCTGGAGGACACCCTGGAAGAGAAGCTGGAAAGCCTGGGGATAAAGAAGGTAAGTTCCAGGGCCACCAGTTAAAGGGCTGATACCTATGATTTGGACACAAGTTGTCAAACTGACAGATGATCAGAAACTGCTCTCATTTGTTCCCACCTGGGCTGCTTTGGTGTCTGTGAAGGGAAACCCACACACCTTCCCCTCATCTCACAGCAGCAGCATGGTCTCTGCTTCCTCCAGTGGCTTCTTGAGATTGGCGATGCCACCTCCAGGCCTGACCCCTCAGTGTGCTCCACTCATTGGTTATTTCCCTCTGTGTCTCTAAGTAAATTTTCTTCCAGAGGGAATTTAATTGGCTCAGTTTGGCCTGCAGACAGGTTCCCCTTGGGCAAGTGTCCAACTTCAAGTTCATCGTCTGTGGCACACGTGGCCATGTGCGCTCAGCAGCTGGCCGTGGGCAGGCAGGCACGGGAAGCCATGTCTGGCACCAGTAAATGTTTGAATGCCATGTGTTTATCCAGAGCATGCATGTTATCATTAGAGGCACCAATGAAATCTGTTATTAACTAAAAACATACCTTGTTATTAAAGTAGCCAAGCATCCCGTCATTGAAAATACTATTTGTATAGAGTAGGTTAGGGAAAAAGAAATAGACACCTAAGTTTAATTTAGTAAGGATGCTGACTAACCTTTGACTATTTTCAACTACTGCTTAATCTTCCTTTGGCCCTATGTTCACACTTGATTAACACATTTCTTTCTAACCTTGCATGAATCCTCATCTTGGATTCACATGCCTCCCAAGACTCTCCCATGGGCTCTGAGTGGATGTCAAAAGCCCAAACAACTTCCAGTACATCTTGAAAGGGTACCTCGCTTTTATTTATTGCAGTTTAGTTTTTCAAACCTTGTTAGCCATGGATGATATGTCTGGCATAATGGTAGTGCTTGCAAGTGCAAAAATGAGCAAGCCGTCTTTGTTATCCTAGGTCTGTTATCCTAGGATTCAGTCAGGTGGGACATCTTAGGCATGTTTCATCTAAATCCCTTATGCTGTGATGTGGACAGAATTGTGATGCAGTCCTTTGCATTATCCTCGATGCAAAAGCCTGAACCCTGAAGCACTGCACTTTCGGCAACTTGTGAAGCTGTAGCTCACCTGCTCTGATCCTCATTTCATGCCCCCACTCCCGCAAGAAAAGCACCAGGTGCTGACCACAGACTCCCAGGTCAGCAGCAGCAGGTGTGAGAGGCTTAGGGGAAGGGGAAGAATGGTAGCCTCTGTCTGTAGAGGTGAACTTGTGTCTCCTCCAGGGCACAAAGGGAATCTCGGTTCAGACTCTCAGACACCTGGAGTCCCTGCTGAGAGCCCAGCGGGAGCAGAAGGCCCGAAGTTTTTCTGAATTTCTGAGTCTGAGGGAAAAGCTCCTCAAGGAAACCACCAACAGAGTGAAGGAAAGACAGGAGCGTGGGGCTGTGGAGTCTCAGCCAGACGGCCAGCCTTCAGGTACACTGGGCAGAGGCTTGCTCAGGGGCTGGGTCCTGGAAGAGTCCAATTCTTGCCAAGGCTTATTTGCACATGGGGAAGGTATGAGCCCTGCCTGCAGGGGTATTGCTCGGAGGGGCTGAGCTGGCGGGTTCCTCACAGGTGACTGAGTCCAGACATCCTCTGTTGGGGAAACAGAGTCCAGGGTGTGGGTGGGGTGAGGGTACTTGTCTAGGGTCATCAGGGAAGCCGGAGGAGAGCTAGAGCCAGAGCTTGTTGTCCGCCTGCACGGTCTCTGCTTAGACGTGCTGCCTCCCCCAGCGGCTTCGGCCGCTCTGCTTGACTTAACTGTGACCACATACCAGCCCTGCTCCAGCCAAGAGCAGCCACTTCGTTTCTGCTCTGCACACCGGGCCCTCGGCGCTGGGAGGCAGACCAAAGGCCTGGGAGCTTTGAGGCTGCAAGCGGAGGCAAATCCCAATCAAACGGAAACGTCCTCAGAGCTCAGATGGCCCCTGCCCTGAGCAGTGGGAGGCCACGAGGGGCTGGGCCAGTTCTGCACGCGGATGACTCCGCAGAGCTAAGGCTTGGCCCCCTGGGCCAGGTCATAGCCACCGCTTTGCCACTTGTCCCTGCCTCTGGGGTCCTGACGAGAGAAGAAGGCCTGTGGTTCTAGTGGAGGCCTAGGACGAGGACCCTTGAGTCTGTGTTTTCAAAGACCTGATGGAGCAAGTGGATTTGTGTTTCCAGGTTGGAGAGCCTTCCATTTCCAGAATATTCCCAGATCCACTGTGCTGCTGTGACTAAAGGCCCTGGGGAGAGCTCCGGTGGGTCTGGGTCTGGGTGTGCTCGTGCAGGGTGCTGCCCTGCTCCCTCCACACCGTCTCCTCTGTTGGGACACGTGTGTCTCCTCGCATCCAGCAGACCCAATCTGAGCTCTTCATGCAAAGAAATTTTGCAGAGTGTGGGCCACGTATCTTTTGGATATGAGAGATGATTTTAGTTGCTACCTGGACCAGTTATTTTAAAATTTAATCTTTATTTTTCTTCATGTGAATTAGAAGAAAATATTATTACTCACATAGCAATCCTGTGAGCTCATGGGAATTATTACTTGGACAAATATAAAGCAGGTATTTTATGTTTAAAAGTTCTGCCATTTTACATAAAAATGTTAAATAGATAGCAGGACAGCTGGTATGAGAATATGGCAAAAATTGTGTTGATGACCTGGGAAACTGTCCTATTATTTCTAACTTCTGGTTGTAAAATCTCTAAGGAAAGGACAGTTCTCAGTCTCTCACAGAAATCTCAGACAGTAGAGTATTTGTCCTGGTTGCTAACTAGCCTTTCACACTTCAGTTTAAGCTTTTATCCCTTTGCTCATTTGCTCAAATGCTTATTCATTCATTCCTCCATCCACTCATTCATTTAGTACAGCGTTTGCTGAGGCTGACCCAGTTCTGTGGCCTGTCACCTTACCTGGAAACCAGCTAGGACTAGGTGATGTGACGGAGCAAGTTTGGGGTGGGCTGGACTCACAGGAGGGAGGGGACAGGGACTCAGGGAGGATGAATGGAAATACTCTAGGAGTGCCAGGAGTGCCGGCTTCCCAGAGAAAAGAAAGGCATCTTGTTCCTTCTAGCTGCCAGCCCCGCTCCATCCCTGCTCCTGTAGCCGGAAAACCAAGAGGGAGAGCCTCCCCTCGCCTTCTCTCCCCTTCCCTGGCCTCGGGGTTCTCCATTTTCTGGGCATATCACTGAGACATGAGATGAACACCCTGTTTTCATGGTATTCTGTAGACCTTCCCTTCCAGCCCCATGTCCACATTCTCCTCCTGAGTCCCACAAGTGTTGGGCTAATGCTCACCTCCTGTCTCTGCCAGGACCATGCCCCTTCTCCTGTTCGGGGGCAAGGCTGTGGCATATAGTGAAGGTAGCAGCAAAAGCCCAAGGCTGGAGCAGACTGATGAGCTGGGTTTGCACCCACCACTTTCTTCCATGGAATTACGGGCAAATCTCTTAATCTCTCAAAGCCCCTGTAGGGAAAATGATAGTCTCTGAAGATGCTCTGGGGCCCAAATGGTTGTATGTGAAACGCTTTGCTTGGTAGCTGGTAGACAGTGATTGTAAGCTATTGTTTTTTTCTCTTGCCAAGTTTGTCTCTGCTCTTTCTCTTCAGTTCACTCTTTCCCAGAAGGTCCGCTCCTGAGTAGATTGCGTTCTCTGAAAGCAGGGTGCAGTTGACCCTTGAACAATGCAGGGGTTTGGGCGCCAGCCACCCTCACAGTTGAAAATCTGTATATAACTTTTGACTACTCAACAACTTAACAACTGATAGCCTACTGTTGACCCAAAGCCCTACTGATAACATAGTTGATTAACACATATTCTGTACCTGTATTATATACTGTATTCTTACAATAAAGTAATCTAGAGAAAAGAAATTGATATTAAGAAAATCACAAGGGAGAGAAACTATATTTACTGTTCACTGAGTGGAAGTGGCTCATCATTTGGTCTTCATCCTTGTCTTCTTCATGTTGAGTAGGTAGAGGAAGAGAAGGGATGTGGCCTTGCTGTCTTATGGGGGCCAAAGGCAGAAGAAAATCTGCATATAAGGGGACCTGTGAAGTTCAAACCCATGTTGTTCAAGGGTCAATTGTGTTTCAAACATTTTTGACTTTGAACTGTAGTAAGAAATGCATTTTACCTTGTGACTCAATCCACACATGTAAGAGTTTTATGAACAGTGCTTACTCTGACTTCTTGTGATGCACTTTCTCTCCTCGTCTCTTTCCATAAAAAATTGCTGATCCTGGTCCTCCCTCCCCCAAACTGGGTCTTGATGCAATTTGGAAAACAGGCTGTGTCTAATTGCCTGCCTTGGGCGCTGCCTTGGCACCAGCTGGGTTGGGAGGAGCGTGCAATCTTGATGGCTCATGCAGTCCTGCAGCGACCTCTGGTGGCAGCAGCGCCTTCCTGCAGGGCTGTCTGCACTCTGGCGGCTGCAGTGTGGGTAGAGACGACAAGTGGGTGGCCTTGGCCAAGTCCACTTCTAGGACTGTGTTCGGGGTGAGCTGCAACCATGCTGAGCCCTTCTTCAGACCTGCTGACCCCTGCTGGTCTTCTGCAATGACAATATGACCCTGGAACACCTAACTGCTCTCCTAGTCTCTGATGAAACCCTGGAACCGTGGTCCCAGTTCTGAGTCTGGCCAGCAGTGGACACCCTAGGGTGGGGACAACTATTCAATCAGCCGTGGTTATATGGCACACTGAGATGGAGTGACGTGTCTGTTTCCGGTGTGTTGGAGCCTCTTTGTGCCTCCTCCCAGGCTTGAGGGCCCAGCACGGGCATACTCTGAAAGTCATTCCTTTCTGTGTTTCCAGTCAAAAGCCAGTGGAGCACACTGGCCTCCAGAGAGGCCCAGCCAAAGACCAGGACCCTGCAGGTGGCGTTGCCGTCCAAGCCGGCAGAGCCACCCACACCAACTCTTCAGAGCCGTGGCAGCCGTGGCCCCGGCCCGACCCAGGTGTCCACCCCAACTCCACGCCCCAGAGTGCGTGGACCCTCCAGCACCCCTGCTTCCCCGGGGGCTGGGCCGAGGTGAGCCCCAGACTCTGCCCTCTCACTGGGCCCCACGAAGCCCTGTTCTGGGCTCCTTGCAGACTTCTGCAGACAGGTGAGGGGCAGAGAGACGTGAACAGGAGGTACCCCAGGTGGGGTCCAAGCTGAGCTCCAAAGAAGAGCCTGGGGGTCCTTCACTCTGAGCAGGACAAACCCTCCCCTTACCTGGCTCTGCCCCCAAGCCCAGTTGCCACCTGGCAGGCTGGGTCCTCAGGCGGGCAGCGCGACCTCTCTTTGAGCCCCTTCTTCCAAGGGAGAGACTGCTGTGGCTGCTGCATTCCTGGGTGACCCTGGCTGTCTGGGCTGCGGGGAGGGAGCGGGGCTGGCTCTGGGCCAACCAGACGAGCTTGCGATGTGGTAAAGTTTGGCCTCTGAAGTTTTCTTCCCTCATTTCGTCTCCTCCGCGCAGCAGCACGTCCCCGTTCAGTTCTGAGGAGGACTCGGAGGGAGGCTCCATGCAGCGTGTGCCTCGCCAGCCCCTGCGAGTTCCTTCCAGGGTGGTGCCCCGGCCACCGGAGGGTGACTGGGACTGGTCTGACACCGAGACCTCGGAGAACGCCCTGCCCCCTGGCAAGGGCTCAGGCGCCCTGGCTGCCTCAGGTGAGTGGGCCAGGACCGCCTCGGGCCCTACTCCCCCAGATTTCTCTTGGCCCTGGAAACACGCTTCACCTTTTTGGGGGGCTTTCTGATTTGGCATTCTTTCTCTGTTTGACTTGGAGAGAGAGGATGGCCCTCCTTCCCCTCAGATATATTTTCCTGGGATAAAGAGATATCAAGAGAAATCTACAGTTTGAGTGAAGTTTATTTTTCCCTTGTTTTGCATGGAATTGTTTGTTAGAGACTGGGAGAGCTCACTCATCCCTTTTTTCCTTCAGGTTCCTTCAGGTTTCCTTCAGGTTTTTTCCTCCAGCAGAGAATAAGCACTGTGGTCGGCCACATGGAGAGCAGAGGTTCTGCCTCAGCCTCTCCTTAGAGGGAAGAGCAGCTCCTAAGCCTGCGTCCCCAGCCGTGCCGTTAAGTGTGCGCAGTTACATCTGCAGACTGTTCCAGGCCTCTGTTCACAGGACACCCGTTGCTCTCTGGGCCTTCTCTCTCTCCTGGCCCCTCTTCTTTGTGGCTGCCGACTTCCTCCCTCCTGACCCTTGTGCCCATTCTCTCTGTCCACACTGGAGCCTGGACATGGCCCCCCAGGATGGAACTTTCATTCTCCATGCTTTCCCCACGGACACAGCTGCTTGTTCCCCTTCCAGGTACGCTGGTGCAGTCGATGGTCAAAAACCTGGAGAAGCAGCTCGAAGCCCCGGCAAAGAAGCCTGCTGGAGGGGTCAGTCTGTTTTCAGTGCCCAGTGCTGGGCCACAGAGGGTTGCTGCACTGGGCAAGAAGCCTCAGGTAGGATGTAGGACGCTTGGAGGTTGCCCTGCAATTGCGTACAGAGCCAGCTCTGAGTTTGGGGGCCCTGGGGTGAGGGTTGTGGGGGATGGTCCAGCGAGTGTCATCCTTGTCCCTCGTGGAACACTGCAGGTGGCCTCATTGTCTCCCTCTGCCCCTGTGCACGTGGAGAGATGGCCAGTTTGGAATACTCATTGTGTCCATGTTAACATTAAAAAGACTTTTGGTTCCTCCTACAAGCAGCTGCTCAGTAAGTTTAGTTCTCCCCATCTCCTGCCTCTGGAGATCCTGGGAACGGGCTCTGGCTCCCTGAGGCAGCTGCTCTCCTCTGGCTCTGCCTCACCACACGGTGGGCTCCTCCCCACCCTAACACAAGTCTGTGTATGCAGCAGACCCCCGAGGTGGGTATTGGAGCAGGCCCACACGGCACATGAGTCAGTAACAGCGTAAAATGGGAATATTTAGACACCTTTGTTCTAAATATTCAAGGCCATGTGTCATCACTACAGATGTCTTCATGGCTTTGCCTTGGGCCGTGGCAGCCATCAGATCTTCAGGCCTAGAGCTCAGATCTCCAGCTTGGCCCCCCATTACCCCCCCATCCTCGCTGCCTTCCTCCCTGCACCTCCCTTTAGGGAGCTCTAAAGTTTCCTTCCTCTTAGGCAGGAAACTTTAGAGCTCTCTTTACTACACACTACTTTCTCACCTTTCTCAATCAAAAAGGTGCATCTTGGGATGATCAATACTATTGTCCTAAAACTCAGCAATCATTCTTTGGTTTTTTGGTAGCAGTTTTCTCCCTTTTACTACGGAGTGTGTTTGGTTTATCATACAGTTCATGTACGCATTAATGGGTCCAAATGATTAAAAAACACACCTGGTCCCTCTTCCCAAAGCCTGGAAGAGCACCAGCTGCCCAACACAGATGGAGCTGCTGCTCAGAGCAAGCTCGCTGCTCCGCCCTGGGTGCTTTCTGACTGGTTGGCTTCCCTTCCAGGAGAAAGTGCGCAGAGTGGCTTAGATCAAAGCCCAGGTGGCCAGCAGGGGCAGAGAGCTCTGGAGGGGAAGGCCTGAGCTGCTACACTGGCAACTGCAGTCTGGGGGTGGCCTGCTCCCTTTGCTGACCCTGAGCTGTCCCGTTGGCTGCAGCCCAGACCCCTTCCAGGCCGAAGGGTTCCTGAGGCTCCTGAGCTCCCCTCAGGCTCCTTCTGTCAGAGTATTTATCAGGCCTGAGAGAACTAGTCTGAGAGGAGGAGGGCACGTCAGCTCATGGTGCATTCCGCTGGAGAACATGGAAGGGTCAAGACTCTGGGCTTTTGGCTCTGTCAGTGTGGAAAGTTAAAAATCTGCACAAAATTTAAATGAAAATGAGAGCAACCGGATCTGCACATAGCCCTTTCCAAGGTGCTTGCCTCGATTTGGTTAGTAGGATTTCAGGGATATTTGAAGTCACTCTGATCCAAGGTCTCTGAAGCAGGTTCTCAGAGGCATGGAGACTTGGCAGGAGGAGAAGCGTCTCCCTGTCGCCTTCTTCCAAATCTACATCTGTCCCCATTTCCACCCTGCATTGCGCTCAGCTCTCTGCCACCCTCCTCCCTTATCTAAATGTATTTTCTTCTCTTCTTCACCCCTGCAGCTTTCTGAAGATGACAGTGACCTAGAGATCTCTTCCTTGGAAGATCTTTCCCAGGACCTGGACCAGAGAGAGAAACCCAAACCCTTGTCTCGCTCAAAGCCCCCAGAGAAGTCTGGCACTGGACCTTGGAGCTCTGGCCGACCCAGAGTCCCTGGCTGGTAATCCTGGCCCAGAGCCTGGCTGGCCAGAGGATTTGCCTTGTCACCTGGCTGCCGTCAGCTCAGGTCCAACCCCAGCAGAAGAGGCTGCCAGATCTGTTGTCTTCACCAGCAACCAAGAGGTTTTCTCCTTGGAGAGAAACAGAGCAGGGAGTGGATATGATCTCTTCCCTCCCTACCTGCGAGGGGCCCTGCCACAGAGGTGCATCGGTGCCTGGCCGGGTGTCCCCTGGGTCCCAAGGCTTGAAAGAAGTTATAATAGGACATTCAAGTAGTTTCCTTCCTTCACCTCCGTGGCCACTGCAGACTGAAAAGAGTTACTGAATCTCTCTTCCCAAGCCTTTTGTAAACCTGCAAGAACACTGTGGAGATGGATTGTATATGGGGCTTTTTTGGGTACATATGCCTCAAGTCATTCAGTTATTGACCCAAAGGCAGTTATTGAATGCCTAATGTGTGCCGGGTCTTCCAGCCTCTCACTGCTGAGCTGGGGTGCATGCAGGGCTTGGGGGGGCAGAATGTCTATAGTCAGTGCCAGTCCGGGGTAGTAATCTAGTGACAGACATGAGGTGTTACAGAAGCATATAAGAGGCCACCCAACCCAGCCTGGGATGATCCTGGAGAGTTTCCTGGAGTCGCCTGTTCGTGGGTAGGAAGGAAGGAGGGCCACTTGGCTGGGACCTCTTATCCCCAAAGGACCACACATTTAATTTTTGATGTTATTTCCAAAATCAGGTTATATACATAGCCATTGTATTTTTTTAGTATGAAAAACATTAATTTATTATATGCAAATATTTTTTAAATATAGCATGATGTTTTTAACACTCTGGTGTGTATGTCATTATTTTTGGAGCTTTAAAGGGTACAGGGAGGGAAGTAAGCAACCTGCACCTCTGTGGTGTCAGATTCGATCCTTTGGGATGCACTTGCCAAGATGGGGTTATTGAGGAGCCTCACCTGGGAAAGGTGAAGGGGGAGGAGGCAGGGTTGGGCAGGAGGGCTGCAGAGTGTAGTGCAAATCTGACCATGTGGATGGAAAGAGGGGAGGAAGCTAAAGGAGCAAGAAGAACCAGCCCCAGACTGCAATGCAGGGCTGACACGGTCCCCACCAACCTGGCGGGGAGCTCCAGGGCAGGAGCTGCCCACCTGGGAGCCCCCACTGGGCAGAAACGGCCAGGCCCTAGTATGCTCCATGCTTGTCTATCGGCTGGGGCGTCCAGGATGAGTGAGACCTTGACTTGAAGGGTGAGGTGAACCCCGCAAGCCAATTTCATTCCTCGTAGTTGAATGGAAATTTTTTTCCTAAAGGGAAACCAAGCGATGAACCTCTGCTTCTGCCACAGGAAGATCTATTTTGAACTTTTTGTTATGGAAAATTTCAAACATATATACAAGTAGTGGGAATAGCATGATAAGCCCATGTTCTTATCACAGGGTCCCAAACATCATCAACTCAACTCACTGCCAGTCATGTGTCCTCTATTACTGGCCCCGTCCCATCTGGGCTTCTTTTGACCTCTGGGTGGTGCTTTCACCTGTGCTGGGCCCTGAGGTTCTTGTAGGAAGGTGATGGAGGAAAGGCACTGCGGAGAGCTGAGAGGACTTGGTGGGGCTGGTGTGGGAGGGCCGGACATCCTGGTATGAAGAATCTGCTCGGTAGAGTTAGAGCATAGGTTACCAAGAGCCTATGTGGGGACTGGGGCCAGCACAGCCCTGGCTGGCTGCAGGTAGTTCCCTTTGTGTATCTCACGCCCTACCAAACGACATTTTAATACCAGAAGAGTAAGATGGGGTTAATCTTAAAATAAAAGACAGAACTCCCTAAGAATGGACAATCAGCTCCTCACAATGTCACACACCTCTCATTTTCCACATTTTGTGTTAGACCAATGGAAACCTGGTTATAGACCAACGCTGGTCCACAGCCTAGCACTCAGAACCACCACACTGGTTTGTGTCTGTGAACCATAAATATCAGCCCTTACATTCCATGATTGCATGCTTCAATAGAAAAGAGAAAATTTAACTAGCTGTATCTTCTGAGGTAACTTCAATAATGTCCTTAATTTACACGGAGGGATGATATAGATTGGACATTTAGAATAGATTTATAGTTATAACCTGAAAAATGTTTTTATCACCTAAAACCTTGAACCCATAATTTAGAAAGCAGAAGATACTTTGGTCTCAAGGCTGGAATCTGGTAGTGGTGTGTAACTGAGATAAAGATTGGCCTGGTGTGGTGGCTCACACCTGTAATCCTAGCACTCTGGGAGGCGGGGGCGGGTGGATTGCTGGAGGTCAGGAGTTCGAAACCAGCCTGAGCAAGAGCAAGACCCCGTCTCTACTATAAAAACAGAAAGAAATTAATTGGCCAACTAATATATAGAGAAAAAATTAGCCAGGCATGGTGGCACATGCCTGTAGTCACAGCTACTCGGGAGGCTGAGGCAGCAGGATTGCTTGAGCCCAGGAATTTGAGGTTGCTGTGAGCTAGGCTGATGCTATGGCACTCACCCTAGCCTGAGCAACAAAGCGAGACTCTGTCAAAAAAATAATAAAAAAAAAAGATTAAGATCATTTTCAGCTTTGGAAAACCCCAAATGAAATTATATATTATAATAAGTTGATTCACATACTATAATAAAATTCTAAGTTTATAGGGAGCCTGAGTAAAGCAACCTATAAGGTCAACAGAATATCCAGTGTGATTCTGTACTTTTTCTTCTCCCTCATGTCCCTCACGGCCAGTTTCTGAGGGGAGTTGCAAAGATCCACTGAGTTCTCTCTAGACTCAGGTGGAAACGATGTGGGAGTTGTCCTGCACCCGTGTGGCCTGCTTAACATCTGTGCTCATGGCCGCAGCTACTACAAAAGGCTACGAGCCTGTCTTCCTGCTGGAGTTGAAGGTGCATGCTCAACATTTAGAATAACACACGTAGTGCAGAACTGCCAGCTGAGGCACTAACATTTGTTAAGTTCTTTAGGGAGGAGGATGTGTCTCTGATCCGTGTGTCACCCATGTCTGCGCGGAGCAGACACTGGCCATCTGATAAGCTGAACCAGGCTAATCCCGAGGCAGTTACTGTGCCAGGAGTTTCTTCATGCATTATTCCACCTAATGACAAGACAAGATAGAAGAACTAACCCAAGCATGGAGCCAGAAAGAACAATATTTCAAAGGGATAGAAAGGACTTGAAATACAGATCAGAGGGTGGTGAATAAGACCTGATCCAGAAAAGACATACTGACCTGAATTGTTCTGCCATTGGAATTAGGCTTTTGTGAAAGATAAAGCTGCATTTCATACTCAAGAGAGTCCATCAGTGAGTGGAGTGGATTGAGTGGTCTGGGGAGAGCTGCCCATTGATTCTGTGACTCTGACACAGATCTCTCACAGAGGAGATCAGTGAGAACTTGGGCCTGACGGCTGACCGCTAAGGGTCCATTGAACCCTAAGATTCAACAGGCTTTTCTTGGTATCAGTTGAGCACAATATTCACGTGTGGGGAGTGCTTTGGGCTCCCTGATGAACGTGATAGGTTGGTTTAAAAGCTGCCACTGCTTCAGTTTTATTTTGTGCAGGTCCAGCCAACAGGTGCCTTCCACATGGTGGCACTGTGTGCCACAAAGTGGGTGGCAACACAAGCACTGTTCTTTTCCTTTTTCTTTTTTTCCATTCACTTGGGCTTCGCTGCAAGAGATAAGCTGGGTTCATCCAGCCTGCAGTGCCACATGAACTTTGGCAGGACTTGGCAAATTGTCGTAGTCAGCCTGGCAACTTTCCTGAGATTAAAAAATAAAACAAAACAAAGCAAAACACTCCAAACCTTTAAAGATAGGAAACAGAGCAGGACAGGGCCTGGTCTGTCATGCTTTTCTGCTTATCTTTGTGTTGCCAAGGCCTAGCTGAGGTCCATGCACAGAAAAGGCAATCAACAAACTTTGACAGGTTTCACAGCCCGTAATTGAACCCAAGTGCCAGCACTCAAGCCTCACTGTTAGGAGCTTTTCCCTGGCCTGGAAATATCCAACTTGCATGGCAATCCCACATGGAAAGATCCTTATGATGCTGTTGCTTCTTCAGTTGCTATATGATTTCTCCCATTTTGTTTATAGATACATCTAATTGATTTGTCTATACTGGCTGCATCCCTCTTCTCATTCCACGAATTTCTTAGATATATCCAGTCTTAACTGAATCTCAGCTTTGGCTGATATGACCTTGAGCTGCCCTTGAACTGCCCCTTACTTCTCAACTTCCCAGCGTATATACATATACCACTACTATTTCCATTATCTCCCCATCTCCACCACCGCCTACAACTTCCGCCACCTTCATTGCCCCCATACATTTACCACGGCCACCACCACCACCATCATTGCTACCACTTCCACGTCCACATCCACCACCACTGCCACCTCTACTACCATCATGACAACCACCCCCTTCACCTCCATCACCACCTCCAACCTTCCTCACCGTCATCCCCAGCACACCTCTGCCACAACCACCAGCACCATTGCTACTACCACTTCCACGTCCACCTCCCCCATCACTACTGCCTCCTCCACTGCCACCATGTCACCACCACCTCCACCATGAATTTAACCAAGTAATCTGAACATGGTTGCCCACTTGTGAAAGCACCTACTATTGTAGAACGAGTGGAGAGAACCCAAGGAAGAGAGTCAGGAGCCCTGATTGGCATCCTGGCAGCCACACACTTGTTTCATGACCTTTGGAAAGTCGTGGAAGCTTTTGTTTTCTCATCTGTGAAGTGAGGAGGTTGGCAGGACTGGTCCCCTAGACGTACAGTATTACACAGTTCCCTGAATGCCGTAGGCTTTAGAAATTCACTTTTACCTTTAAAAAGGTTAGTCAATTTACTAATTATAACCTGAAAGTCTTTTTGATATTTTAAAAATCCTCTTGCTTTTTCTTTGTTCTTTGAAAATTTAGAGCTGCCTCATTTCATAATGCCTGAAGCCTATATTTATAATCAGCATCTATTTCATGGTTCTGAGCCGTCTTTCACATAATTGTCTTTCTTTTTTTTTTCGCTTTAGAGTTAGTTCTTTTGTGGTTAATGTATAGCAGAAACAAAATGACTTTAGAAAAAGCCCTTTAGGAATTCTGGGGTTCACATCGGTATCACGAGGGGCCCACGCGGCTCTGCGGCAGAGCCAAGTCTCAGAAGGGACAGGCAGCACCATGCAGGGAAGACGGAGAAAGGAGCGACTGAGGTCAGTGCAGCAGTGTGCAGCACATCCACAGCGGCGTAGACAGCGTGCGGAGGCTGGCCTGGAAAAGCCAGAATATGGCAGTCTGGACTCCAGAGTGCAGGGCGCTGAGGTGTGCAGCGAGGCCAGCAGGGTGCAGCGGCCACAGAGCACAGGGAGGCTGAGAGCGGAGAGTGTAGGTGGCAGCTCTGTGTATGTGTGGGAGAGACATGGCTTTATCTAGGACCCCCAAACTTGTAGATCTGGGTACGTTTGCGTTTCACATGTAATGCCGGTCACGGCATCCTTTCGTTATGATGCTAAATCATGTGTCAGGCCAGCTGTGAACAGTGGATTCCACTGACTCTCTTAAATGTTGCTGTTCTTTGTTGTCATTGAGCACAAATATAAATCCTACCCACAGTATGCAGGAATATGTGAACGATAATTTTCTGGCTTGTTAAATCTACCATTTGGAATTTTATAGTGTAAATGTAGAATGATAGATCTATCAACCCCATCTTCGCTTGAACTTTTTAGGCTATAATTACTGCATCCCTGGAATGTGATCTCATT